GATCGTTCTGTGCGTGCTCGCCTGGATCGCTTGGATTGCGCGCAAAGCAGGCAAAGCGCGCGATCAAGGCAACGAGATGTTCCTTTAGTCACACCGTCGCAAATACTATCTTAACTCGTTCTAGCCTGATTGCCTGAGTCCAGAGCCTTGCTCCTCAGACAATTGCCTGACAGTCTAGTGTATACCGCGTACCACCGTACACCTCTCGAGTCGTTGCCGCTTGCTACCGGCGTAGCCAACCTCTCACGTGACCCTCGTAGTCAAGCATCTCCTTGGGTCTCACATCCTCCACCGGTGCAAAACAAGTCGCAGGGAACCTCTCCTTGTTCACCGATTGTGGACCCTGACAAGACAAGTGTGTCAACAACCTGGATCGCAGAGGAGGTTCGACTGCCACGACCACGAACAAAGATACTCACGGAGAACTTGGTTGGAGAAAGAGTCGCCTTCTTATCAATGATGACCATGTCATGGGCATGATCGCCGTTGACTGCGGTGCGACGCTGGCGGACCCAAATCTCGATTTTGGCGGCGGCGGAGTCGAGCAGGACCTTCGACCGCAAGAGAGTGTTCACATAGGCGACGTTCTGCTGCTTGAAGACGCCATGAAGGGGGGCGGAACGAAGGACATTTGTCGGTTGAAGACGAGCCAAACGAACGTCTTCTTCAGTAAAGGGTTGGCGGTCGAATTTGGTCGTTTTCTTCGGCATAGTGATACAACAAAGGGGGTTACGAGTTGAGAAGTAGTTGTTGAACACAAGTACAAGAGTGACAAGAACGTACGCAGAAGGCTTGAGTGGGAGTGCTGGATGCGCTAGGATACACCAGAATGAGAGAGAGCGAGAGCAGGCGCAAGATGAAGGGATGTGGGTTCGACAATCAACACTGATGCAGAAGACAACCTCTATTTATAGGCGAGAGTCAGCAGATGCTTCGACTAAAGGATCGACTGATGAAGGTAGCTTCAGGGTGCTATTAAACAGTCGAGTGGAACAAATAGGTACTCGTCTCGATCATCGTAATCTAAAATGATGGCGACCTTGACGCCCATTCATCCTCAACGACCACACCTGCGATCTTGCGAAGGCAGACTGACTAATCACGTGCAGACGCCGCGTAGCCAAAGTCAATCTCGCACGATAGTGTGTCCTGAAAATAGATGATGAATCTACGAGCCGGTGCTCAAATCTAGGAAGGGTGGTCTGTTTGGGTTCACGACTATCGCACAAAAGAACCCTGCTGTGTTTGTCAAGCCACAACAGTTACAAACACGGGGTACGTGCATGTGGCGCGCCCAGGCCTAGCGCCACCAATCAAGCCACATAAGCCACCTCGACGCCA